ATTTTTAAATTTTTGAGGAAGCTCCATACTGTTCTCCACAGTGGCTGCACCAATTTATATTCCCACCAATAGTGCATGAGGGTTCCCTTTTCTCTATATCCTCACCAATACTTGTTATTTCTTGTCCTTCTTGATTCTAGCCATTCTGACAGGTGTAAGGTGATAGCTCATTGTGGTTTTGATTTGCATTTCCCTGATGATTAGTGATGTTGAGCATCGTTTCATGTGTCTGTTGGCCTTGTAGTTCTAAGAAATCAACACTTTCATGTAGAAGATATTTCTGATCAGGTATAAGCATGACTTAAAAGAATTCACTTTTTACTCGTAAAGTGAATAAACAGAAGTCTAAATCAGGGATTTGCTAATTGTCTTGCTGAGCACCTACAGATGTCACATAGGAATTTATTTTTAGCCATAATATGTCTGAAACATATATATATATACTGAGAGTAATAATCCATCTTTCTGGTTGTCGTATTTTAGACAATCTGAATATTCTGAAACACACCTGTGAACTTAAAAATGATTCACAATAAGGATTCAAACCATTCTGCCTGACATTTATTTTTTTCCTTTCCTGACCTGGGAAGCTCCTAGTCATCCTTTAAGACCTAGCTTAAATGCCACCTATCCTGAGGGGCCTCTCCTAATCACCCCCAGAACAAACCCTGGGTCCCTGGGTTCTATAGACGCACTCTACACTGAACCACACACTATTCATTTCCGTGTCCATATCTTTTCCAAGGCTGTGAATAACTTAGAGGCAGGCTCAAGGGTGAGGTCCTCACTTCCATCATTGCAATTCCTAGCATTGATGTCTGAGGCCCACTAGTTGACTCCAGCCAGCCTGGGATTTGGTGACCCAGAAATCATTGTTGTATCCCCACCTGCCACACCAATGTGGCCAATGCTTTGTTGCCAGCCAAGCTGGAACCCTAGGCCCTGGGGAGAGTGTTAAATGGCTATGCAGCTTCCTGAGTCCCAGCACGTTGTATTGGCTCAGGGTGTGGGACTGTGCTTCTGCCTGTCTACTTTCACTTACACACCTAGTTTGCAGTTGGCCTGGGTACCTTGCCAGAAACCCACTTTCTTTCTAGGCTTGGAGGCTGTCCTCACCAAGATCTGCTCAACTTGGGCTATCAAAGAGCAGGAACTTTTGATAACTATCTGCTGAATGAATGCACACAAGCCCACCCATTTTACCTCATTAAAGAGAGGCACAGGCCTCTATCTCTCTTCTCAGATGAGCTTTGACCTTACACATACCACTTGGGTTTCTGATTTCATTTGGTACCTGCTAGTTTTACTAGGGTCACTATCAGGAGAGCAAAGACTGAAGACAGATGGTTAGATCACTGGGGCAGCAGGTAGTCACTGTCAAGAACGAAGAGTGACCAAAGAAACCAGAGGTGATTACAAGAGAGAACACAGGAAAGCACCAAGTGGAGCCATGTAGGCTATTTAGCCTCAGAACAAATGACTTTATACACCTCAAGAGGCCGAAGCATATCACTGAGTGCCAAGGTCAAACACAGGCAAAGGGGCTGGTAAAATTCAGTGAAAAAATAAGGTAAACCCCACACAGTTTTATAGCCCTAGAGGGCATCAATACATCAAAGTTTAGTTCACTATCATGTTAGTTCACTATCAAGTTTAGTTCACATCAAAGTTTAGTTCACTGTCACTAACAAGGACCTGAGTCATCAAGAAAAGGTTGAACGATATTCATTAGACACTGTCAACAGGCTGCTAAAACAGGCTGTTTTAGAAACACTTCTTTCCAAAAATGAAAATTTCTCATTGATGTCAGAGCTTAAAGTGGTAAATCTCAGTTATCTAGACAAGAGGGGCTGTCTTATTCCCCACAGATACTGGATGGCTATGGCATCATGGCACACATAGACACTTATCACTTAACAACTAATCAAGTATTCAAATCACAGGTATTTGGGGCCTAGGGAGGGCCTGATTATATAACAGTTTTAAAATAAGAAGTTCTTTTGAGAGAAGCAAGTCTGAGGCAGTATCATTAAGATATCACTCATATCCTGAGTTAGCCCGATCTAAGCCAGATAAACTCTGCCTACCAAAATTAAACTGGATTGCCCTGATTTCTTTTTTTTTTTTTTTTTTAAAGATTTTTAGTTATTTGACAGAGAGAGACACAGTGAGCACTGGAACACAAGCAGGGGGAGTGGGAGAGGGAGAAGCAGGCTTCCCGCGGAGCAGGGAGCCCGATGTGGGGCTTGATCCCAGGACCCTGGGATTATGACCTGAGCCGAAGGCGACGCTTAACGACTGAGCCACCCAGGCACCCCTGGATTGCCCTGATTTCTGATTGAGCTTCTCTTATTACCTTGACTATCCTCCCAGTTCCTGATCTGCAGACCAAATTTCATGTTCATGGTTCTTACTCATGTTTAACTTTTGGTGTCTTCTGTCTGGACATCTGGTAGCTAGCTCTGGCTTTGTTCCATGATTTTACTTCCTGACTCCCGCCCTGGCTCTGACATTCACCTTTAGCCACTCCAGGGCTGGCTCCTGCCCACCTGGCCTTGTTTTATTACTTCTTCACTGTTTACCAGGCCATGCAAGAGGTCAAGCTGAGTATCCACGTAATAATGAAGTATGTTACCCTGGGCTTTACTTAGCTATTTTATATATGACTCTGAATACATCCACCTTGTTTGAACTAGGCTTCTTTAGGGGTGGTACTTTTTCATCTGACTTATCTCGAACAGAAACAGTACACACTACCACTGGATACACATTTCAAAATGGGGCATATCCCACACTCAAGGAGTAACATGGCTCAAATCCTAGCTGGTTATATTCACACAGGAAAAGAAGCCCTAAAAGTCAGGTACAAATG